CATCACTGGTAACACTCTTGCGGAGAACTTTTCAAAACAATAAGAAAACTGCCAAACAATGTAAGGTCCAGTACTGTAAAATACAGCATTCATAAATAATGTGGGAAAACTGAAGATGTTTGTCTTGAAGTTGACAAGAGAGGTTTGTTCACAACAGCTGAGCACAGAAACAGGATCAACAGAGGTGTGCACAGCATTGCGCTGCAGAAAATTGAGAGATTTGGCAGTTTGATCCCCTCAGGTTTGCTGGCAAAATGATTAAAGGAACTCCTCGGATTTTTCGAGGAAACCGTAATGTGAGCATGACAGCCAGGGACACGTCGGCAGGGTTTTTGGAGGAGTTCTTGGAAGTGTATTTGAGATATTATTGCTAACATTAAAAAATGCCGTGGGATACATCATTTCCTGATTTTAATGTCAGCAAGAAGAAATTGTTTTACGTCACTCCAGAAAATATGCAGATAGCTTTTTTTAAATGTAAATGTGTTGGGACATACATTTCTAAAAGTGGCAGCTTCAAAGCTGAAGAGCGGATTAGTTTGTTTTAAAGGCAAACTCCTAAAGCACACCTATTATACTCAGCTCAAGCTCCATATTTATTAATAAGTGACTTTTATGTATATATTGTGCTATTCTTAGTTAGTGTGTTGTCTGTCTCTGTTAATGTTTGTTTATAATGGAGCACTGTAACGAAAAATACTCTATTGATCCCTAGGGGAAATTATTCTGATTCTGATATTTGTTTACAGTTTAAAATTACTCTTATACTGGGCCTTGGTACGGCCTCTCATTTCAGCCTCTGTCACTAATATCACTCTTTTGCCCCTTTGTACAGTGACTGACTGTACCTGAATGTACTCATAAATATACATTGATTACTTTGTAATTATGTAGCCACCATACATGGGCCGAGACGGACATCACTGCTCCATAATCTAATTATGTTCTATATATGCGGCTAGAGATCGCCCACATATATAGTATACTAGAGGTGGAGGAGGAAAGAACTGATAGGCGTTCGTGTGCTTTGTAGGCAACTTTTAATTTGTGTCTGCACCTTCAGGTTAAAGATATGAGGGACCATACCTGTGTTTTATCATCTAAGAAAGCGAGAGACAGCATGACCGGCATCTGGATAAAATGTCATCCTCTTCCTCCTCGCCTCAAGCCTCACCTCCTGAACAGTAGTCAGGGCTCTAACAGACAGAAATGTGCATAAAATGCTCATTTATTCTCAATATTGCAATTTCTAATTGCCAGCAGATGAGTTATGTGACCCTGCTGTCTACAGACAGCTGACAAAGAGCTGACTAAACAACATGAGGTAGTTATAAGCTAATGCTATGCCAGCTAATACAGATTAAATTGCCACTTTCAGCCAGAGGTCAGCCCATACAGTCTGTAGTATTTTAGGACAAAAGTGTTTTAGGACAGTAGGTATTTTAAGACTACATAAAATATCTATCAATGGAGAAAAAATGAAGATATGAAAAGAAACTACAAATTTTAGGTTGGGTGTTCCATATTCTGCCCCGGCAGCTTTGTTTAAATCCATGAAAATGGCGACGTCTCTGCCAGAGCTCCAGTTTGATGACACTAGGTGTATGTTACAGAGAATTGCTCACCTTACGATGCTGTCAGGATGAAAGCTTTCAAAGTATGGGCCACTACTGAATGCAGTGGAGAAGCAGGGATTGGTATGATTTGGCCTGTAAGGCCAGGTTAGGAGAGGTTAAGGTTCAAAGGGTGGCTGGAGGGCAAAGGACTGCAGTACTGACGTCATGTGAAAATTATGGATTGACACATGAGGTCAACAGTGGACTGACATCCTGCACTCACTACAGCTGAATGGTGGGAGGGGTAAGAAAACAGAATTCATTTGACTGCAATCTGATATCTACTGACCTCTGGTCGAGAGATTTTACACACTGTACCTTTAAAGCTACCCTCCTTTATGCCAAATTTATTGTGACTCTCATAAACGTCTGTATTAACCCTTTTCTCTTTGATGGCATACATTGTATGTATGCTAATAAATCAAGAGGAACACATTAATGACAACTAGTGCACTCAGCAGATGATAGATATCCATCTTCTGGGTGCTGATTAATGCTGTGCCAAAGCAGAAGACAAATGCATGACATATTCATCACTTTTATGCCAGGTCACACTGCTCCAATTAAAGGCGCCAGTTGATTTGAAAATCTTTTAATCTGAATAGGGAAACATGTGCATGTAACCAAAGACCTTTTTGATTGCTTTTTATTTGCATCACCAGCACAGTTCTCTTCTTTGTTTTTGCAAATTAGTTTATCAGGTTTTTTAAGGTAACACTGTCCTTCATGAAGAATGTTCTCTTCATAGTGTGTTGAGGAAAGACAGCATGCATCTTTTTTGTGGATGCTGCCATGAAGGACGTACCGCATGTCACCATTGTGCTGATGAAATTAATTCCCTTTTTATGTGACAACAGTGTAACCTTCATGTTCTCCTCTTTCAGACAGCACAGATACTTTTAAATGTTGCACAAGCTCTCAGATTCTGCTCATAGTTATCCTTAGGCTTAATAGAAGACTCTCACAGTATCTTGCAGTCCTTTAGGATTGTCTGTGAACAGAAAATAAGAAAAGCTAATACAAATCTTGTTATCCTCTGCGGCTCATTATTAAGTATCTACACCCTCTTAAAAATTCACAACCTAAGAAAATCTGTAAGTTGGAAAAAACAGACTGGATTTAGATTTAATCACACAAAAGCCCGTAGACTAGGGGTTAGTAATTACCACGACTGAAATGGTTTTCATAATCACCTGGGCTAATTGGAAACATGAAAGTAGGCCAGCTAACTGCATTACTGTAAATCATTATTGCCTGTGTTAATAATCCTGTTTTCCTATCTCCAAAAGGTATTCATAAACTTTTGAAGTGGATGGGACTTTAGATAAAATCAAATAAAAGTAATAAATAAAATATACATCCTGTTTCTGGCAGAGACCACCTGTTAACAAACCTGCTGCTTTTTTATCTTTGGCTGACGAAAGGTTTATATTCATATGGATCCCAATAAAGAGCTTGGATTGCATTGCTCCTTCGGTTTCAAAATCACCCACAATACTTAATGTATCTTATCTTTATATATTTGTATGTAGGTACTTCATGAGTTGCTAATTATTGCATCAATGTTATTGGTGGAAGGTTTCATGTCTCCTAATGCAAACATGGCAGAAGATTTAAAGAAAGAACATTTAAAGAAATCACTGACTTGAATATTCAATTGATTTTCCAGCTCTTTGGCTTGTTACAAAGTTCAGATGTGTTAATTAGATGTTTCCTTTAGTTAAGATGCAGAATATAGCTAGTTATTGTTGTCATCAAGGCTCCAAAATCATCAATCCCTGCAAATAAGTTACACCACAGCAGTTTTTCTATGTTTAAGGGTGATGGACAGACTGAAAGAGCAGGCAAAATTGCAGCAGCAGCATTGGCATTTTAAAGGGGGAAATGGGAAGGTTCAAATCTTAAATAGACCAACAAATAGGGAGAGTGTTTGCTATATGGTGTGAGGCTCACTGCCATCAGATTGCTGTCATAAATCATGGACAGAAGATATTCCAACAAGGAAATATCATTATCATTATAAAAATTCAACAAGTGCACCTTGAAAGATAAGGGACAGCAGGCGTATGGGAGAAGAGTGGAACTCTTTCCGAATTTGTCAGTATTTAAAATGAAAATTAAAGTGTACATTTTAACAAAATTGCAGTATTTGTACTGAACAAATGGCCAGTTCATGCACATTATAATAGACACATCACATCTTTGATATATGAGAGACACCGAATGCCATAGCCACCTATCAAATTAGTTACATTTGATAATGGTGTGAACTAACTTGTAGGTGTCACAACATACACAGCATATCTATGAGGTTGCAGTGATTGCTTTAAAAAGGATGTGCACCAGGAGTTATATATTCATAACACCTGTCCACCTGTCCACTGAAGCGCACATCAGTTTCACATAAAGGCCCAGTGGTTGTCCAGTGTACTGGATAATCATTACAATGTACTGTTACTGTCAGTATTTCCAATTATATCGGACAGGATTTGTAGCCAGAGGCAAGCATCAGAGGCGATCTAGTTTGGTGGTCTCGAACAAAGTCTCTGCTTTTTAAGAATAATGTGGTCTTATTGTCTTTCTTGAAGTGGCTGGCTGAGAATTGGCTCCTCCTAGTCCTAGATTGTGGTTCTCAGTCAGAAAAGGTTTGCCCGTTCCTGGTTGAGGATAAACTGCTACTTCAAGCTGTTTATCTGTGTGGTCACAAGTCATGTGAAACAAGGATGTGTTAGATTATGTCTCTCGGCTGGTTTGGGAATGCCTTGATACGCTCAGCTTACTGAAATTTAAAGTTCTTCTCCTTGGTGGCTCACAATAAAGAAGGATTTGCCTATACTAATCACATCTCTCTCTGTCTTCTAGCTGCAGTCATCTTATTTCAGTCAGTTCTACTTGCTCACTTACATTTTCCATTTGCACAAAAAACCTGAAATAATGTGGGATAGAAACATGCTTTTTCTTTGGTATACAAATGGCAACAGTTAAGTATGTAGGAAGATGTAGGAAATTAGACGCTAGTGTGCAGGAGTGAGAAACATTAAGGGCTTTTTAACCAAGCCAGCAAAAAGGGAAGTGACCACTGACCTGTAATTGGAAGGAGATGGATGGATAGACATAAAAGAAAAGAGAAAAGGGGCAAAGAGGGGACGATCTGGAGGAGGGAAAAGGGGAGAACAAGATGAAGTAAGAGCAGCAACCAACAAATTAATCTTTTCTTTCCCTTTTTCTCCTTCTCAGTGGATTCATTCGTCTCCTTTGTCAGTAGTCTTTATCTCCTATCCCACCCCTCGATCAGTCCTATCTCCTCTGAACGACCCGTTTTTCCTGCTCATCCTCTCCTGTTCTGAATTTCTTCACCACTCTTTGCTCTATTTCCATCTCCAGGCATGGCTGACAGAGATTCATGAATACGCCCAGCAGGATGTGGTCGTCATGCTGCTGGGCAACAAGGTGAGACCTTGTTGCCAACACTGGGAGATAGATGGACAGATGGACTCATAGAGGGTGGGAAGAAGGGATCACAGGCGGTATAGTAGGGCCTTGAGCCAGAGTGTAATGGATATGCACAAAAGCAGGGGAAAATTTTTTTTTATAGAAATGATTTTCCAATGTCAAAAAGTTTTCAGTAGTTACATCATTATATCAGAACAAAGCAAAACAATACACATTATTAAAGCTTAACTAATCAATAGTTCACATTAATACTAGCAACTAATCAAGTCGCTTTGAGCGTGACATTAAGTGGTTGCTCATATTGATGAATGGAAAGGTTTACAGCTTTAATGAGCTTTTTAGCATTGTTTGATTTTAGCCTTCAAATTTATGGTTTTATGGAGCTGCTGTACACAGTGGAACACTTAACAACTAGCAAAGCTAGACATTTAACATAACCAGCCAGACAAATGTTTTGCTCAGGAGTTAGTGGCAACAGTGGAAGCTTCAAGAAGAGTTAGTTAATATATTCATATTCTTTCTTCTGCAGTCACACAAGAGAAAACAGTAGTTGCATCCTGTAACATGACCAAAATAATTCTAACTACGTGCAGTTAACTTGTGACCTCACTGGTTTGAAATGGTTGCTCTGAAGAAACAATGCACAATCTGTTGCAGGCTTCAAACTGACTTTGGTGTGTCAAAGCAGCAATAAAATGGCAATAGGATGGAGTCAGTCTGCAATAAGTTTATCATTGAATGGGGTCATGTTGGCAGTTACCCTCAATCTGTTTAAACCATTAACTTTGATAAACTGACAAGAATTGCAAATCTCTTACCAACTAAATGCACAAAAAATCCCATTAAACAGAAATTCACATTAACTACTTACATTTAGAGTCTAGACAGAACCTCATAGATTTAAAACAAGAATTCATAAATTCTTCCACAAATAGTAATGTAGTTGCTGCAGGGTAGCAATTTAACTGCAATATGCGCACAGCAACCTTGCGATTATAAAGTGATATAACCAGAACACAACCTGTTTAATCAACCTTATTGCAAAGACATGCATTACAGATGGGTTGTGCTTATCAGCGCAGACTGACTCAGATTGCAACGTATAAATGATATGGCAGTTATTTGCAAACCTTGGCTAATCTGTTTTAGAGGGATTTCAGTCAATCTGAGTTAGACAGGTTGCCTCCCACTCCTGCCTCGTATTTAAAAGTGATCACTCTGAGGTTGATGGTTGCATCATCAACATCTGGGCAACCAGTTATTAGCTGCAAGGACTTGCAGTGAGCCTCCAAAAGCAAAAACACCCAAACAACTACCAATTTTTTGCTAAATTGCAAGCTTATTGTCCTGTTTTTACTGTAGCGTGACTAAGGCTTACATTAGTCACAATCCTAAATTAATGCCAAGTATCTTTTTCTGTTCAGTATCTAATTGCTCAGTAACATACTTGCTGTAGACTTAGTTTTTAGACTGTAAATTCCACTTTTATCAGCTGTATTTACAGTAATAGCATTTTCTGTAAACCCTAGAATAATTAAGCTAGCAGAAAGCTAGCTACTAGCCAATACTGAAAGTCGAATATTATATATTAAATAGCCATGAAGTTGCTAAAAAATAAAAGAATATAATGTAAATAAAAGCTTTATGTTCAAAGACGTGTATTCACACAAATAATAAACCTAATTTTTCTTCCAGTTAGGTCATTGTGTTCTCATACCGACTTGCTAATATGGTAACTAGATTAGCAGAGCTAATGAAATAGCAACAGTCCTAAAAAAATTGTGCTTGTTATAGAGTTGCTAGCTCAAGCATCTAAAACGAGGAGGGTCACAGTCTCTTTATTTTTTTATGCTTATTAAAAAACATATTTTGTCATTAGGACCAACTACACTAAAGACACTGTGAGAAGAATATAAGTGATTGTTTCTGATTCTGTGCTGTCTGTCCCATATGTTCTAGGCTGACGTGACACATGACAGGGTGGTGAAGCGAGAAGAGGGGGAGAAACTGGCAAAGGTGAGCTTTCTATAACACAAACTTGTGCCTATACACATAGCACACATAACGTTTGACACATGTAACAAGAATAAAAAATACTTACTATACTTAATCCGCTCATGCAGCAAAGTTGACCCTGAAATTCTCTCCCCCTCCTTATGTATTCATACAGGCACATAATGTTGTTATTGTTTGGAATAAATGACGGGGGATTGCTAACATAATTTTCCAGGCCGTTTCGCTCAGATAAGCTCTGAGAGGCATGTTAGAGAAGGCTAAATATGAAGTGGTATGGAGTAGTGTGGCAGACGCACAGCAGCTGTCAAGGTAACAAACTCAGCAGGAATATTGAGATATTCACACGTACACGGAATGAGATTGCTTCACCTGGGAGCATCTCTCATCGACCACATTCTGCGTTCTCGCTCTTTTTCCAAATTACAACAAAATGACAAGAAAATTAGTTTTGAAAGCCAGGAACCTCAGTAGCCATCACAAGTATTTTTGAAATATTAGTATTGATCATCAACCCTCTCATCCCTCCCCAGGTGTCATAAACCCCTCGGCACGAATATACTTCCAATCTTAAATTAATCATAAGTCTAATTTTTCTGCAATTTAGGTCGTTATGTCCTCACAGTAAAAGACAGACAAGTGGCATGGCCACACACACACACACACACACCTGAAAAGATATTTTTCTGTATGCAGGAATTTGGAGTGCCGTTTATGGAGACAAGTGCAAAATCTGGACTGAATGTCGAGCTGGCGTTCACTGCTGTGGCCAGGTGAGTCTCAGCACAACAGCACAAATATTAGACCCCAGAGGGAGATTAGATGTGATCATAAAGCAAGCATATGCAACTTAAGGAGTAACGTTTGCTCATTTGACTACACTAAGTGGTTTTCCATTATAAGTTTTACCCAAATTTTGGCTGATTTAGAAAGCATTTGCTGTGTAACTGATGTTACTGAGTTTGACTTTTTCCAGACTGCTCTTAATAGCACCAAGTTTAGCTCCAATTCTACCCAAAGCACTTAGACCTTTTAGACCCAGGATTTTTTTAATGCAAGCGAGTAAGGCCTTTTGTTGTATCACTTCCCACCTGATTCCAAAGATGGACAAAAATGATTTATTTATGAAAAGGAGACACCTTTTTAACATCACATGTCAGTGTTTGACCATACAAGAAAATACTACAGTCTGCCAAGTGCCATTTATTCTTAAAAGCAAACAGCTTTTTCATGTAAAGAAAGGAACATGATTTAAGTCATACGTTAGAAATTGGGCAATTGAGACTATGGTTGAAAAGACGTGAGCAGTATCAGCAAAATTGATTCAAAATTTTATTTGCATTTACTGAAATACTAAACGTAAAGTAAATGCAATACAAGCTACTGCTAAGATTGATCACAGTATAACTAAATTGGTAAAACGACTGAAATAAAAGGGCACTCCTTCTACTCTTATTGAGCAATCATGATCAGTTTTTCAATTAAACACGATCATGTTTTTTGGCCAATCAGATACAGTGTTACAGTCTTTAGTGTTAAAGGCCGTCCCTACAAATTAGGGTAAGATAAATTTGCACCTGTAAAGTATCAAAATGAATTGCTTAAAGTTGGATCGTGGGACTAGTTAGCTAACTAATTTATGATTAGCAGCTGTAATTCAGAGGTTTCCAAATTACAGGTCAGCATAATCTATCGTCATCCCCAGAGTGTAAGCACATATACTGTCCCTGGGGTGGCTGTAGCTCAGGAGGTAGAGCAGGTCATCTACTGGTCAGAAGGTTAGTGGTTGGAGTAGAAAAGTGCTATATAAGAATCAGTCCATTTAACAATCCACAGGGCTTTACTTGATCAGTATTTTGTTGGGTTCCAGCTTTGAAGTCATCAAGTCCGAGGAATTCTCTGTACAAACCTGAGACAGGATTGCATCGAGACGTCGATTTTGGGAATGGTATCAAAACATTTCTGCAACGCTAAAGGTCCCAATGAGCACAATGGCCTCTATTTTTCGTAAATGGAAGAAGTTTGGAAGTTTCATATAGGGCATTAATGTTAGAAAATATGGAACAAGTGAAACGCTGTTGTTACAGCCTGGCTCCAAATCTGCAACGTAAATATGGAGACTAACACATTTTACAAAGATTAGGTTTTATTTTAAATTATATAATATGTTAGCTAACATAGTTGGTTCCACTTAGACAAAGACTGGTGCGCCTCCTCAAAAGCCTGCAAACAGCTGAACGCTCTTGCACTGCCACTGCAAAGAGAATAGGGATGCAGAGGGTGTAAGGCTGATAATGCTTTCTGGATGCACTGCATCCCAAAAAGAATGCAGTTCTTAAGTTAAAGGGGGGTCCAGCCCAGTAGTAGGATGATGTAACTAATGAAACAGGCAGGGAATGTATGGTGAGTGAATTTGTATAATTAGTACTATTTGGGATAATATCAATGGAAGATTCAAAAAGAATTGCTGTCATGCAGTGTACATCTGGACAGATGTATCCACGAGAAGCACTGCCGGACAAATGTTGCTCATTTGTTTTATGAACACATTTTCATGCTATATTTGGAACTAGAAAGCTAAAAAAAGAAATATCTAAGATAAAGCGTTTAGACACAGATACAAATGACATATTCATCTATAAGATCAGATATAACATGAGTGTCTTTTCTCTTAACATGAACTTTAATAGAAATAAAAACGTTGGCAATAGTATTTTGATTGTGTTTCTGACAAATGTGTGGTGTCGGACAGTGTGTGGGAGCTGTTTCACACTTATAGTCTTGTTATGGTAACAGACTGGCAGAGAGGGCTGATGCCAAGAATAGAGTAGCACAGTCTGGCACACAATCACACTGCAAACAGAATATGAAATTAAATATTTTCTCGTTGTTGTCTTCCAGCTCATGTGAACACCTTCTCGGTTTTTTCATCCCTCTGCTTCTCTCGTCTCTCTCCGAACCCCTCCGTCATCGCTGACTCACCTCATCTCTCATCTCTGCCCTATGTTTTTATTTGTTCCACTCCAGTGAGCCTTTACTTGCACAAAACACAAATTCAAAAGGCAATGAAACCAGGTAACCAAACAGTACATGTTTGGCATTGAGACAGAGTGCAGGAGTGACATCGACAAATGACCCACTGACAGAAGTGATCTATAGGTTTTCATATAACATTTTTTGTTTTTGTTATTTATGGCAAAGGCTCCTTCAGCTCTTTTTATTAGTATTACCTAGAGGGGCTCCTCAAGTCACTAATCTGATCTATATTTTTTTGTTGGTTTTGTTTCTTTGGAAAGTCAAAAAACGGTAGAGAAATGACACTTGGTGGTCATCTGTAATTCAGTGTTTACGGCATGGCATTTAATAAGAAAACAGTTGTATTTATATAGGGTCAAATCACAATAACAGTTGCCTCAGGGAGCTGGACTGCTAATCTGGGCATTTCCCAGTGGGTCAATGTGCTTGTAGGTCGATGGGTCAATATAATTCTTATTTTATGCTTTGCCGATTATACAGGCCCGCTTGAAGTGCCGCTGCGCACTGGGCCTACCCGCACAGACAGCAGCCCATTGGTTCATGTTTTTTTTACTGGCGCTGGATTGTCCAATCAAAACTTTTAATGCAATTTGCCTCACTTAACTATGGAAGCCCGTTTCCGCCACACAAAAAAAGTATCCCTAACTCGAAATTTCGACTTATTAACTCAAAATTTTGAGAAAAGTAACTCGAATTTTGAGTTAGCTCTGCCAATCAGTCATCTACATGAAAGATGTCACTTCCTTGTTACCCAGAAACTGGAGCCCTCAGCTACAAATGCTACAGCTAAGCTACCAGTATTACAGCCAGTCATGAATGCACAAATGTTCAGCGTGGCTTCACAAATGATGAAATCCCTGTGTTATTAGCTGAATCACATGGCGTTACCAGCAGCAAACGTACTCTCGAAAGCCCCAATTTGTTGCGATCCGGTTTTGAGTGTCCATTCCTCTGCGCCGTATCCTTCTGGGTAACAAGAAAATGACATCATTCACATAGATTACTGATTGCCAGAGCTAACTCAAAATTTCGACTTATTAACTCGAAATTTCGAGTTATGGATACTTTATTTTGTGTGTGTGGCAGAAACTCTGCACCTTGTGGAGCAGAGCTTAGTGAGGAAGAAGCGGTTGATAAAGATGGACAAATAAAAGTGAAATGATGGAGCTGAAAAGCTGAGAGAGAATAGCAAAGAAACTAGAAATAGATGCAGCCTAATGTCTTCAAATTAACCAGCACAGCCAACAGTAGTACCAGCAACAACTACTAACAAGCCCTTGCAATCACAGGAGGCTCCTGTTGCTAGAACTAGTCGTGAAGAGGTTCACCAGATATTTTTTCTGGATGAGGTGTTGTTGGCCAGATACTTGAACAGAGTGAAACCACCTCTGTGTAATCCCTAAAACATGAGTGCAGTGCTCCAAAGCAGGAACATGGGCTCTGTGGGAGTCAGGGCAGAGCATTATTCAGGGGTGAAGAAGAAAAGAAAAGAGAACAAAATGAATTTATATATATATGAAAATTAGGTTTACTGCACTTTAACCACTTTCAGTGCCTGTTTAGTTCTATATGAGTCTTTATGTCTCTCTGTGTCAGGGAACTGAAGCACAGGACCATGAAGGAACCCGATGAGCCAAAGTTTCAGCTGCAGGAGTACGTCGACAAAGAAATGAGGACCGCTGGCTGCTGCCGCTCATAGACCACATCCTACTTGTGTGTGTGCGTGTGTGTGTGCGTGTGTATTTGTGCAAGAGAGAGAGAAAGACAGCAGGTGCACTCTCTTACACTATGTAATAAGTCTGAGTTGGTGTACCTGGAAATGGCCTGAAATTCTCAATGTTTATATTTCTCTGCGGCCAATACGCTCTCTCTCCCGACCCACCTTCCCTCTGCGACTGTGAATGTAATATAATTCCTGTCTCCAAGCTTGCACATACACATGCATGTCTGCACGCAGACGCTATGTTTGTAATCCCGTTTAATCCATTCTGTGCCAGTTTCCATGAGTGATGTAAATATTTTAAATGTAATTTTAATTTTGTGCTCTGGAAGCTTTGTTGTTTATAGATGCCTGTCTTATTAAAAGAAACTCTACAGACGTAACAAGGCTGAATATTACATCAGTCTGACTAGAATAACAGAAACCAATTTGTACAAACCACCATTGCACATAATGTAAGCTGTCATTCTGCACTACAGTACATGCTGTTTATGTACAGGATACCATATAATAATGGTTTTAATAACACTGATGTGTCTGTGACCCATTCGAGCTAGCGACCTTTTGTACACAATTTAAGTTTGATGTTAGAACTGTGTGATATATTTCTAACATGAATAAATCTCCAGCAGTGATCAATGTATACAACAACACAATCAGCAAAGGACAGCAGACCTACAATGGGAAATATATCTTCCTGAGAAATGATGGAGTTGTTCCAGAAAAATCATTTTCTAGATGTTGCTCTGTTTTCAGGAAATTAAAGAAAAGGACAAATGCTTTTTGCAACAAAAAACAACTGCATTTGTGTGAAGTCTGCTGTTAACCTGCATAGCAAAAAGAAAACATTACAAAAACAGTTGAATATTGGGTGTGAAAAGCGTATTTGCCATTGCATATTTCTTCCCCAAACCTTGAACGGGACCTTACACATATAGTTTTGTGCAAAAGCCTTGATGCACCACTCAATTCTTTACATTTTGTTAGGAAAATGTGAAACAGCTGCAGTGATTTATTGAAATGTGTGCAAAGATACATGGAAATATCAACACATAAGGCAAAAACAGTTTTTGAAATTCCCAGCAGCATATTTGATAAGACTCTCTTTCTTGTAATTTCTTTAAATAATCTTCTCTAATAGTTCTTCAGGTTTTTTTTGAAGGACAAATGTTGGCTGCCTTTTGTTCCCACATTGATGATCCCATATTGCTTCAGTGATGTTGAGATCCGGGATCTAGGGAGGCCTGTCCATGACTGATAGCATTCAACTGTGTGTTGTTCTGTCCCAGTATGCCTTTACTGCTCAAAAACGAAGCTGTTGCCAATCAGACACTTTCCAGATGAAGTAGTACATGATTGTAGTACTTTTCTTTATTCTTAACTCATAATTCCACCAGTTTTAACAAGGACAGCATCAAGCAATGCAATTGTACATCTATCCTGACCTCCATTAAGTATTGATAATGAAGTTTCAATTTTGGATTGTGTCTCCTTAAAACCCATTGCCAGTCCTTTAAATCGACTTCTTTACAGCCACCCTGTTTCTACTAGTGAGTGTAAGTAAGTGCATGAAGATACAATTTAAAATGAGTTATTTGCTAAGCAATGTCTGTTATGTGTAGACAAAACACTAATTGATCCCTTGAGTTTTGGTGCCTTTTTGTTTCTTTATCTCTGATTCATAGGTCAGTGTTGGGTGGCTTAACAAACCAAAAAACAGAATTTGTCAGAAAATTGCCAATTACAAGGATGGGACTGAAAATGAGTGAACAAGCAGCCAATGTCCAGAAAAAAATTGGAAATACATTTTGAAACCCGGTTGCTCAAGAACACTTAAAAACGTGGAAACAAAATATAAAGAAATGAGGAGTGTTTTGTAAAGCTACTGTAAGAACATCTATGAATTAAAATGTAGAGATCTGGAATTGGTCCCGTGTAACTCAGACTCCTCTCATGGAGTTTTATGTATCTTTGTATCATATGTCCAGGTCTTCATCAGGCAAAGGAAATGATCACAGCGATTGACCCAACTTAAAAACAATATATAGATTTTGATGTTTCATTCTATTTATTTATGAAAAACTTAATGTGTGGTTGAAAGTTTTAAACAGAGATTTTCTTTAGTGAGCCTTTCTGATTAGAAGATACATATCGCTGTTGAGAGAAAAGGTTTTCATTGCGCGTATTTTTTTCCACAAAAACACAACATCATGGGGCCAGATATATAAAACTGAATACTCATGACTAAAGCTGTTTGTATGCACAAAGGAAGGTTAGGGAAAATGTGCGCATTCTTTTTTTTGTCAAATATATAAAACTGTGTTGTTGTTTTTCTTTCTCTTTTTTTGGTTTATTAAAGCTCAATTTTTGCCATTCCTATTCTTACCAATTAGTGGAAGTACACACTCCCTTGTTATGGTATCATTACAACATGAGCAAACAAGAACCACAGCTTCACTCAGTATATAACTGGGAAGGTTATTGGAGAGCGGGAGAAAGGGAAATGTGTAATTGTTGATCTCAGGTTCATGATCAGGAGAAAAACTAGTAAGGAAAGAAGCAGTGGAGGCTACTAACTATATAAATTCAAAGAAAAACACCATGGCAGAAATGCTGTACTACAAGGACATCAGTTCTTGCAAGAAAAACACATTTATATGCAGAGCCACATCTTTTTATAGCTCCGACAATTACCATAAGTAATAAAAAAAGGCTTGGTAAAATTTAGTGCACATCAAATTATTGTCACTGAAGTAGCGAACTGTTGTGTTATGTGTTAAGTTTCCCTGACCTTTTCCCCACACTATCACGTGGGGCTCCGCTCTAATACAAACCATACCACTTTATGTGTGGCGAAAACCGTGTGCGTGTTTTTTAATGCACACATTCTGTTTATACATCCAGCCCTTGGTTTCATTTTACCACACTGCGCAAAATTTTCAAAGCAAAAATGAACTTACAGCAGAGTCGTATAATCTAGAACAGTGAACCACAGGGGAGCGTTTAAATCTTCGAGGACAGCTTGCTTACGTTTTTTTCTATTTTCTCTGCAGTTATTGGTAGAAAGCCATTATTTTTCCAGGTGTTTTATCAAAGATGGTTTCATACAGATTTCTGCCAACGTTGTAAACTCTATCAACTAGTACTATAAAGCATAAGTAAGGATTTTACAGTGAAGTACACATTTTTAGAATGAATCAGTTCTCATAAATTTATTGTTAACTTGTAATCTGTATACTGTATCTTAACTGAGGTTATTTGTATTGTATCAATCTTTTGTGTTGACTAATAAAGAATCTATCATAAAAATGAATGCATTTTTGTGGCTCTTTAGCTCCATCATCTGGTACTAACCTGTGATTACATTTGCTGTAACCAACTCTTTTTACCTACACCAAGGAGGTTGTGTTTTTGGTAGCATTTTGTGTATTTGTGCGGGTTTTGTTTTGAATTAATTCTGGTAAAACGTTGTAGGGGTGTAGTGAGGGTGTTAACCATCCATTAAAAATTGGCTTACATCCACCAAAGTCTTTAAGGTAAACTTATTGATTTATTGGTGAAAAAAAAAAGACAAAAAATAAGGATTACAGTTTACATCCAAATATCATGTCATATTTGACCTCTGACCTCACTGTTACATTTCCCATCTCCCATCTCATAATTTGCCTGCAAATTTTTCAGGCTAGAATGAAGGTCAGTGAAGGTCCTCATTTAAAGAGTTATCTTTTTTATATTGAGGTTACACAACAGAAGTGATTAAATATTTCACAAACAAGGTTGTGAATACATTAAAGGTAGGGGTGTCCAACTCCAGGCAGGGCTGGACTGGCCATCGGGCATTTGCTTGCTGGGTCGCTCGTGATTTTTTGTTTTTATGGGCCGATGGGGTTTTATTTCTTTTCTTTTTTTAACGGTATAAATGAATGGTGGTGGATTGGCCAGTTGGTCATGAGCAACTCTGGGCTGGACCAATTACAGCCGAGGTCGAACTTTAAAGTTGAGATGAAAACGCGATTTGTCCTGTTCCTCTTCAGCTAGAAAGTTGCTAGTTCAATCATGAAATTGATCAATGATCAGCTGATCGGCTTTTCTCTCTGCACCAGAAAGAGGAAACCAGCGGATGTCGCACTAAACAACAGCAGCACGTTTAAGCTTGATCAGCTGTTGTTAGAATTTATTTAATATGAATTTCTAGTATCAGCTGATGTTTGCTGGAGCCACAGCTGTAAAAGCTGCTGGTCATGATGTCGGTTTGGATATGTGGTGAGAGGGAAACATGAAGATGAAACCAGGAGATGGCCTTACTGAATCATCAGAGCTGAACAGGTGATGGAGAAACAGGTTTACCTTTGAGGTGACATGAATGAGTTGAAGGGAAGTTATGAACTGTTTCTGAGAGACAAATAACACCAGGATCCTTTTCTAAGCAGCTGACAGCTGGTAACTGTGCAGCAAAGTCTAGCAAAGTTTTGTCAGGGGGCCAGGTAGGGCATTAGCAGGGAAAGGGGGCACAAAGAAATACTTTTCTTTCTTATTCTTATTTAAAATGTCTCGCTTTTAACAAATAATTATCTGAATCCGACAACCAAAGTTTTTATCTGATGTAAAATGTATAGAAATCCATTACTGTATTCAGTAAATATTAAGTCTAGTGTAACTTATATTATTCTTTCCTTTGGGAAGGTACCATCTGTGCAGTCTGCAATTCTGTTAAATAAAGATGTTGAATCTATTTAATTACTGTAATCACTACGGCTGAGACAATAATTCAACAATGAATTACTCATTCCTTAAGTACCCTGACTGATGACACTAAATGATCCGCAGGTGTGCCATGCCCACCTATTCCAAGAAATGAAAGAAAACAGGAAAACAGAGCCCCAGCAATCCCGACAAAGCAGCGGTAGAAACTTTGGCAAATGATACCAACATTTTTAAGTTATTTTCGCGATAGTGAGATTTAAATGTTCATGTACGTTCATGTTCATTTCGCTTAAAGTAAGCATGTAAGCACAGTCCCATTCTTTTTTAGATTAGCTTTTTTAGAATTCACACAGTTGAATATTAAATGTGGTGCAAAGGTCAACTAGAACAGCGGTCCCCAGCCTTTTTTGCACAACGGACCGGTTTATGTCCAACAATATTTGCAAGGCCTTTAAGGTCCATAACACGGGGGAAAAGACCCAGGGAAACCGAGTTGTCGATAAAAACAATTAAAAAATAAGGCTAAAAAAAGCCTTACTTTTTAAACCATAAATTTCCTGTTTTACTTTGAAGGTCCGTGTCTCAGGTCAGTGTGTTCTGTTTTGCTTCCTCTCTGCCTCGTCGTGTTTGATTAGTGTTAGCCATTTCCTCGCATGTGTATTTACATGGTGTGCTTCCCTTAGGTAGTCTGCATTACTTTGGCATTTCTCCATGTGTCATTCATACTTGCCAACCTTGAGACCTCAGAATTAGGGAGTCAAAGGGGCTGTTGGGGGGGAGTGGTATACATATACATATATATATATATATATATATACAAAAAAACTTGAATTTTACAATGTTTATTTATCAGATAAAATAAGTTAAATGTCACTGTTATTATTGGCTGGCCAGAAACAGTGGGGGTGTCCAAATTCAGAGGCTGCATCCACCGGCACAAACTGCTCTGTACATGAGTGAAGGCCTTCGCTGTCTAAGTGGGCCGGGTCCTCCGAAAGCTGGGTAGGCCGGAAGTGAGCAACTGTGAAATTGGACGGTCTAGCCTTCAGAATTACGTCACGAGCCCTCTCGGTGGAATGAAACTGCCGTCGGCTCCTTGCTATCTAAAATATAACCGGAAGCTGGTGTAAATTCTGGACCGTCTCACTCTTCTGTTTAATCAGTTTTCTGTTTGACGTTTTTTCAGCTGTGTGAAAACCCTGGAGGAACCCACCCGAGGGATTAATAAAGTTAAATTTAATCTAATCTAATAACTGTAATCTCAGCCAAACCGATTTACTCACGAACAAATAAAGCACTGAAAAAAGCCAAACACATGTTTAAGTTATCAAAGAAGTCACTTTGATAACTTAAACATGTGTTTGGCTTTATATATCATGTTTAACCTGAGTAGTGAAAGACCGCGGGGGCTTGAAAACGATGTCCTGGGAGTTTGCTGTTCTCGTCAGCTCAGCTTTTTGAAGTGTACACAGCTACATTCTCGCCTGAAAATATGTTAAAAGTTTATTTTGCGACCCAGAAAGTAATAAGTAATAAACCAAGTAGCTGCCGCCATAGTTGGAAACTGGAATTGGCTCGGCTGCGCTATGAATTCTGCGATATGGTTTTTCAGTTTTGTTGTCCTGGTGGAAAAGCGGGAAAAGTTTGGGAGAATGGTAGCTCCGGGAGATTTTTGGCAGGGGCACTAAAATTCGGGATTCAAAAAAATGACAGAAAAATCGGGAGGGTTGGCATGTATGGTGTCATTCCCTCTGTGTCACAGGTTTCCTAGTTACAGATTAGTTCACCCATTTTAGGTTTTGTTTGTTCTTTTCTAGTTGTCCCCACTGTTTATTTGCAACTTCAAATAAAGACATCTACATCCATCTCTATTGTCTGCGTTTTGGGTCTACTGCTCTTTAATCTCCACACAATGACACCTGTGCCTTTAGGATTGCAAGTATCCAGGGTCAGGCAGCTCATTGCTGCTACATAGCCCTGGATGTTAGGACAGAGGGCTTTTACCAGGACTCCAGTCCTGATTGGCTCCATCAATGAGGTTCCCAGGGATCAGTTCCGCAGTGGGAAACCAAAAGCACGATGAGGAAAAGCAGGAGGATGAGGACCAGCTGAAAAAATCAAAAGTAAGAGAAAAGGGGACAGGGGAGATGAAGTACGTGACTTGATTAGAGAAGAGGGATTCGGAGGGAAATGGAGGAAAGAAGAGCAGAGGAAGCACGAGAGTGACTGGACAGGCTATTTGGCTGCATTTTATTTGCATTATTTTTTCCAACTACATAAACCAAAAAAATAAAGATTTTACGTAAGAAAGAACACCATTGAAGAAATCTGGATGAAAATATTATTTTATCTCCTTTCCAGTCTGGTTTTAGGATATTGCACAGTGCTGTAACTGCTTCCCTAAAAGTTCTCAATTACGTCTATGAAGCCCGGGACGCAAAGAACTGCTGTGCAGCTCTTGTTATTGACCTATCAAAACCCTTTGGCACTGTTGACCATGGTATTTTATGTCAGAGATTCATGGAAATAGGCCTTTCAGACCAAGCAGTTGACTGGTTCTATAATTAACTTTCGGACTGTCAGCAGTGCATGCAGCTCAGTGGTCTCTCTTCCAGTTTTTTAAATCTCACTAATGGAGTGCCACAGGGTTCTGTCCTGGGGCCTACTTTATTTATGTCAATGGTGCGAGACAAAATCTTTTCTTTTTTTACTCAAAATTCTACAAACACCACCCCATAATGAAAATATAAAAAGGTTTTCTTGAAATTCTTGCAAATTGATGAAAAATAAAAAACAAAAATAGAACATTTGCCTAAGTATTTACACCCTTTGCTCAATACTTTCTTGGAAAACCTTTGGCAGCAAGTACAGTCAAGTCATTTTGAGTATAATTTTGAGTATAATGTCACAAGCTTAGCACACCCATTTTTCAGCAGTTTCTCCCATCTTCTTTGCAGAACCTCTTAAGCTATCAAACTGCCATCTCTTCAGTGATGTTCAGTCAGGTTTAAGTCTTAACCCTTGCCTACTGTCTGAATATTTTACAGGAAAGGGGGAAAAAAGGGAGACTTGGATCCATCATTACAAGATCACAAAAACCTCGGTTGATGGAGGCCACTGTGCCCACTGGGACCTTCAATGCTGCAGAAATTTTTCTGTACCCTTCTCCAGACCTGTGCCTCGAAACAATCCTGCTTTGGATGGCTACAGACATTTCCTTGATCTTCATGACTTGGGTTGTGCCAACTATGAGAGCTTGAGACCTGTATTTGTAAAGTGCTTCACTAGTCCCTAAGGACCCCAAAGCACTTTACACATCCAGTCATCCACCCATTCACACACACAAGCTATATTGTAGCCACAGCCACCCTGGGGCGCACTGACAGAGGCGAGGCTGCCGGACACTGGCGCCACCGGGCCCTCTGACCACCACCAGTAGGCAACGGGTGGAGTGTCTTGCCCAAGGACTCAACGACCGAGACTGTCGGAGCTGGGGCTCGAACCGCCAATCTTCCGATTACAAAGCCAACTTCCAACTCTTGAGCCACAATCGCCCTGGCATGTATTTCAAGCTGTGAATACATAGCTTACCATATGTAGTTCCT